TCCCTTTGAAATTTATAGCTATGAAAGACATGTATAGGCTAATTAACGATAGATACAGGATGAATTTGGTGAATTGAATACTTTAAATTATCAATGAGTTTGAAAAAACCAAAAACAAATAATTACACTGAAGTAAATAGGATTCGTTTTGAAAGAAGGTTGATTACTTTGACTCTTCTGGCATGTTGCGAGTTCATGTAAAAGAAAGAAAATTATGACTTTTTTATATCAACTTATAATATCAATAAGTAATGGAGAAAATGAATGAGTATGAATATTGAGAATAGACCTTTGTTATTTTTGAAAGAGGTCTTTGTGATAATGAAAGTAGATAGAATTGGTGATTAGTGGTGTAAGCAAAAAATTGGACGTAATAAGGTTCAGTCTTCAGTTTTTCGTTGTCAAACTTTTTGAATTCATCGCAAGAAGATGTGCTTGGGTGTAGGTTTGGGTGGTGGAAAAGAAATCCCAGAGGTTCACCCTCACTAAAACCCGTAGAGACACTCATATCACGGACATGTGTACTCTTTTTTATTGCGTCACTTGAAGATGCCTTAGTAACACCGCTCGTTCGTCATGCAGTTTGACCGATATCTTATGGTATAGCCATTCTCTCCTCATGGATCACGATGGACATACTCGCAAGACTATTCTAATGCACAATTAGTATGAAACACGACTAACAATTTTACACCCATTGGGATTGTGCTAACAGGCTTTTTATGCTTGTAAATATTTTGGTTATATACTACTTTGGCGTATGTCTAATACTATAATAGGAATGAGAAGGCATAGCTGATACTATAAAAACAAAAATATCCTTTTTTCTTTCTAAATCTTTATTTAGTTTAGTTTATAATAATGTGAACATGCATATGTAGAACAATTGGAAAATAAATTGAAAGCAACTTTTTCTTTCCTTTTTAAAAGTGTCATTGCTTTTCATAATTCGAAGGTATTTTTTATTTAATTCATCCGACAGTACGTAGGATAAAAACAACCGACAATCAGAAACATTATTGCAGAGCTCGTCAGTATTCTCAATATATCTCTTAGCGAACATCATTGTTCAATATATTTCTTATATAGTTATGAAATATTCTATATTAATGGTGCTTTTGAATTCCTATATATTTCTATGTGTTCATAGAGTCATACTACGAAGTCTGGTTGTCAAACGTTTCATAATTCCGATCCGTCTGAATGTTTATTTCACTAAACGATTGAGTAATTGTTTTTATTGTGAAGTTTTTAGACTTATAAGAATATTCGAGTAAATACCCATGCATTGGAACCAATGTCAAAAGATTATCCAAGTACGATTCTGTGACATACGGATGAAAGTAAGTTGTGCATGTTAACATAATTCATATTGGTGGTGTCACTTTGATATCACCTAGCAGCATCCTTCCGTAATAACAAGCTATTGTTAATGATAATCAACGTGATTGTATATCCGCCATAGACAATAATGGTTTATTCATCACCAAGCTAACACATATATTACTAACAAGCAAATGAAATTAACAATAGGGATCTTTATTATCTCAGCAAGAAAAACAAAAACGTGGTGTGATTTTAAAATATTTCTTTTTATAGATAGAGCTAAATCCGATATGTTCATTTTCTTTATATAGTTGATGTTTGTTTTATCTATTTCCTGTAGAAGTTTGTTGAAAATGTAACTACGAAGACAGCATTATTGGATGTGTTTCTTTGATTGACACTCTGATGTTAATTTTTTTCTCTGACTCTTTTTTTTTAATGCATAACATGTTGGCATAATCTGAGTGTAAACTACGAAAGAAATCATTCAGATTGTTCGTATTTGTGGTCTGTATGACTAATAAACACAATCGCACATAATTGGCCCTTGAATATTCAGTTATATTACAAAAAAATAATATTATATTTAACATAGTATCTGTATATAAGCAAAATGAATCGTTGACTTGAGAGGAATAAAAAAAAAGTCAATAGGAAAAATCTAGCGTAAATAATACACTTTTTTAAACATTTATTACAATTATCATTAAATTACTAAAGATTTTGGGTCTAAGAGTTTCTTTCATAATCGAATAATTTTTTATGAGTTAGTTAGACTTTTCCAGAATTGAACGATCATCAAATAACAATAATATAAGTAGTATTAAGGAAAGACAAAATCAATGATATTATTTCTTTAAAATAAGAAAAGGATATTGTTGATAAAAATGTACAGATAAAAAGCATAAAATGAATAGAAATATATTTAACGTACATCTAAAATTGATTTTCATTAATTATTACTGGTCTTGTATTTTTAATAATGATTGTTGAATAAAGTTGAATTTGATTAATTCTCAATAAATTTATTTTTTAGCGTAAAAGAAACATTTTTGCTTCTTGCCTAAATGGTGTTGATGAAGCAACAAGGGTGTGGGTGTGGGCTTAAGACGACATCAACTACGCACTCACACCCACACCCACACCCTTCTGATAGTTACTGAAGAAATCTATCCCATGAAGTAAAATATTGAAGGAAACGGACCGCGTAACGCGTTTCCGAGATTGTAGCATGCGTTTCGCAACGTTTTTTCAATACAGGACGCGTTTCGCAGCATTCTTACTAACATAAAATGCGTTTTGCCACCGTCGTTTTTAGAAACGATCCGAAACGCTTTTTTCAAGATTGCGTTTCGAGGCGTTTCCGAATTCAAATGTTGTCGAACGCACGTTAGTCGACAGGCGATGCGTTTCACAGGTGAAAATTGAGGGAAAGGTGGAACGCGTCCCTTTTTCAAATGTATGTTGGATTGTTTTTGCTTGGAATGATGCAAAATATATCCGTTCTGCATACAGAATCTTGCAGAAATTCACTAACACAAAGCATATGAGTTAACCAAAGTAAATTCTTTAAAATTACTTTGGAAATGATATGAACTAGCACTTAAAGTTTTGCTCCTTGCACTAGTTTTACGTGAAAATCATGGCCAAGGATTTTATGAAGGCAAGACTAAAATCAAAGTCTTCTAAATTTTTAGGCTGCTAGGCTGTTATCTAGACTTATTTCGAAGTTAGACTAATGTAAAACATCAAAGTGTAACAAAAATATATTCTGCTTACTTAAAAACTCGTTTCACCACGTTTTTATTGAAAGAAAACATGTTTTGTAAGGTTTACTTAAGAATCGTTTTAAATATTGAGCATTTCGAAAAGATTTAGTAAAGATTGATACTAATATAATTAGTATGGCAACTCTCTTTGGTTATTTGTGAACAAAATAATTATCACGTTATCTATAATTTGAATAATTATTAGTATGAGTTCATACTCGAACGAATTGATAATGAATAATGATACTGTGTACAATACTAGTAAACATGATTTTAGCTTGTACATTGTTGAAGTAAGAGTGACTTTTTAATAAAAGAGATTCGACTTACAAAAGAAAACTCCCTTCATTTATTGATGTAATTGGAGAAAACGATGGCAGATTTACATTTACAAAAATCTATTAAACCAAGAAAATAGATAAAAGATTAAATTTTAAATTTTTTAAAACTTATATATAAGAAATTTAATTTTTTAAATATTAAATATAATTTAAATCGATTAAATTCGGTTCTATTGAGTATCTAAATTTAAATATGAAAGAGTTTAAATAAAAAATGTATCAAGAAAAGACCACATTAATTGGACATGGGCACCAAAGAAATAATAATTTTCAATTCAGTAGAATGGAAACTGAAAATCTAATTTAGTAAGTTTACGTGAGACTCTAAATGACAGTAGAATAAACATTTATATCATCAGATTATTTTAGTTGAACGGTTTGTATATATGTCTTATACTCCTATGTTCTCGTGTTCGAATCTGTGTCTTGACTGCATCAAAATTCATGTAAGTTATAGTTCTGAAGGTCTATGAAAACATGTAAACGAGTATATAAATTGTACCTGCACTTCAAGATCTATGAAGTCATTAACGGTTTTCAGTTTTTTTTCCATCTAGAATATATGATACCACAGTTTGAGAAACGCTGCAAAATCTTTCACAAAAACAATCGTTACACATCGTTTGTTTTAGCAGATGTGAAACGCGTCAAACCGGTCAGCATTAACGCGTTTTGCAGCTATGGAAAAATGCGTTTTCAGAACGCGTTTTCTTCGCAGAAATTTACACCATGGGATAAATGTGAATCTTCAATTCTTTTGTCGATGTAGTGCTTGAAATATTTTGATAGTTTATTCATCTAATATTTTGTCGTCGATATCTGTTTAATTTTAATTGTCTATATTTCATCATATCGTTATCATTATGAATACATTTTCACGGTCTATACTAATGATCACCTGATTGTTTATGCAATGATCCATGAAATATCGATTGTGTTTGATCATCAGACAAATGTCGAATTCTGCATTCATCAATATTGTTTAGGCAATGCTCAAATCGATGGAATTCCCAATGTTAGTAATGATACAGCCATTTTTTGACTAGCTGCAAAAGCGCTCATCCTCGAATTACAACGCTCAAAATTGCCATCATCAACAGTAAAAATATTGTTGGTTCAAAACAAACTCGACTCCAAAACCAAGATCAACAACCAATGACGGAACAGGATGGCGAGAAAGAAAAGACAAATAAACGCATAATCGAACTCTCATTCCAGTACAATATTTTCAGTCCATATATGGCATTTGTTGGTATTGAGAAGTATGTTAATAGTGGGTGTGTGTGCTAATGTTCAGTCTAACTACACCCACAGCCACATCCTCTTTCGTTAGATGAACTCGGAAACTCAGTTACTAGTGATGGAAAGGCATGCAGCGTTCCTCTTTCCATTCCTAGGAACGGAATACAAAAGTGACACCCCTATCATACACATTCACACCCTACATTCTCATTCCTAAGCGCTTTTAATTGTCGAAATCACTACTTTTGGTGTACCTTAAATGAGACAAGAGTTTACAAGAATCATAGAATGAAATTAGAGATATATTATTAGAGCAAAAACACTACAGTATGTTGCATGAAGCTTGTTCTTGTTTTGGTTGTGATTCACTGACAAGTGTTTTCAAACAATCCAAAAAACGAACATAGTCATCAAGATGAAAAAGGTCTTGTCCAATTTTATTTCTCAATCGATCGTATTCTTCATTAATACGTACTGTTGAATCAAGAATTAATTTTCCATACAGAATAAGTTGAGATCCATTAATAAAACCTAATGTATTAATTAAATGATCAGATAAATGATTTTGTTGAAACCAACATTTTATTTCTTCACGTGTCCATTGATCAGTTGATGATGTTTTCTTAGAATTTAATGCAAGAATAGATTTAAATGATGATATTAAATTAGAAAATTGCTCTCGACTTATGCCATGATCACGCATTCGCTGTTCGTATTCATCATATTGTGCATCATCATGTGACAGTAACTTCATATAGGTTAATAAAGCTCGACCAGATGATAGTTGAAGGATAGATGGTGGCAAACGAAGCCATCGCTGTACTTCTTCAGAAGTCCATTCTTCAATTAGAGAAGTAGATATAATGTTGGAGATGCTAGAATTTGATTCCAATTGTATTTTGGGCGTTTTTGCAATTGGATTGGAATTCACAGGTAATGATATTTCAATCGTTTGAGTATTGTTAATTGAATTTGCCTCAATTTCTGATTTCTTTTGAAAGTTAGATTCATGCGAAACAATACGTTTTTTATCATTTTGTTTAACTTTATCTCGTACATTAATTAATCCTAAAAGAATTTCCATAACTTCTTCATCACTTTTCTGATCTCTAAAACGGACCCATGTTGCAGAACCAGCACGAATCTCAAACCAATCTTCTGGTGTATAATCTGTTCCTATATATATAGGTACCATACGTTTTTGACGTTTATCAGCGTGGAGGGTGTGGGTCTAGATCTCTTATCCATTCATACCCATCCACACCAACACACACACACATCCACATCCACACCCACACTCCGCACCCTATGTTTACCCAATTCAATTTACTTGACTATATTTATTTACAGAAACAACACTATTTATATAATGGAACATGTTTATCCTCCGTTGTAACGACGCGAATCTTACGACAACTATATTCCAGCTGTTTATCCATGGTTCTTCCGGGCTTTCTTCCATGATCGCAAGGTTTTATTTTTGTTATACAGCCGACGCCGGAGCTGTTGCGATGTACCTGAAGGATAACACCGTGGCATGATCGTCGACTCATATTCACTTCCATTGTTTCGACAAGTAGGTGGTGTTCGGAAATACAACCAATTGTGTCGCACATATGTGAACCTAGAAATATAAAAACTTATTTTAATAACACACACCAGGCATCAACACAAACCCTGATTCGAGCCACTTCTGTTCGACAATAAAGGAAAAGATTCCAAAATTGAGCGTAGAGTGATGTGATGACGCTGCACAGTAATACCGTCAGTGAAGTTTGCCGCACAAAACTCGGAAAGTTTGTCCGATATCGATGAATAATGACCACTATTCTTCATTAAATGTAAAGTTTCATGATTCCTCGGTGGATTCTTCAGGCGCTTCTCCCGAACTTCACATTCCATCCAATTCGCAAAAAACGATCCTAAAAGAATAACATTGGCAATGCTCAACTTTAGCAGCAAGTTACTCACCGTTATATTTAACAATGGTTGTTAATGACTTTAATGACTGCAGCTCTTCAATGCTGATTTTCGGATATAGATGCCGGCTGTTTATTAATTTTACGTAACCTTTCGATTTAACAATTTCATCCTTCCATTTCTTCGCATCAGCGGCAGATATAAAATTCAAAAACCGTTGGCTGTTTGGTATTTCTTCTTGTTCCAGCGATTCACAATGTCTTTTTTTCTTTCCTGACGCCATAATGAATTCTAACTTGACGAATACTATTAACAACTGGACCAACAGAACAGAATAATGATGCCTCTCAAGCAAACAATACACCTATTTATATCATCATCACGACAATAGACCAAAAAACATTCTACGCTAATTGCCTTTCTCTCCTCAATGAATACATCATTCTCATACATCATAACTTCATACACATCACAGGCGGCTTCTCCTTCCACAAACATTCATTCCGCAGACTAATTTTTGTCATATAGAACACAACAGTTCAGACAATGACCTCTTTTGATCACATGACAAAAGAAAAACAAAAAAACGACATATGCGGGATAAATGTCTTCAATAAAACACAACCAACCAAATTCCTTCATCGCACATACGACCACTCCTATTTCAATCGTTGATCTTCCTTCCCAATATGCAACAACTGATATTCTTGAACTTCACATTCTTCCATCAAAGGACACCATAAAAGCTACTTACGGTGATCTCCATCCATCGGACGATGATACGTTTCTTCATGATGCTTGTTCTGGTCCATCAGATGAGAGCACTTTTCTTGGACATGCTCGTTTTCGTCGATCAGATGACACTACTCCTCCTGATGATGAAATTTCACGTACATCGGATGAGACTAAACTTCTTGGTCATGCTAATTTTCGTCCCTCAAATGAGAGTACTCTTCTTGGCGATGATGTTTCCAGTACATCGAATAAGAGTACTCTTCTCGGTCGTGTTGATTTTAGTCTCTCGCATGAGAGTACTCTTCTTCCTGATGTTGATTTTGATTCATCGGATGAAAGTACTCTTCTTTGATATGGTGATTTTGATCCATCGGATGAGAGTACTCTTCTTTGTCATGCTGATTTTAGTCTATCGGCTGAAAGTGCTCTTCTTTGTCATGCTGACTTTGATCCATCGGATGAGAGTACTCTTCTTCGTGTTGTTGCTTTTGATTCATCGGATGAGAGTACTCTTCTTTGCCGAGAGTCTCATTTCAGGTACTTTATTGATTTTTCAAGGCGCCTTGTAAGAAAAAAATCAACAATAGTTGTTTTCTAATGTTAATAAATTTGTTTAAATTAGTAGCTTTTCTATAATTCGTTTAAGATGAAATCTACTAAATGAATTGTGATCTAGACTTCGATTATTTAAAACGTTTAGTTTGTACCGCAGATTGTGCAGAATAAAATGACATGAAGACGCTTTAGTTTTCTTTAAACTTATTGTTTCTTCATATTATATCGTTTGATAGACGAATATAATTTGTAGTTAAAATGAAAAGAACGCAAATCGGCGTATATTAGTAAGAAGAAGAGAGTGAAATATCTACATGCTTTGAAATAGCATTGCTAGCCGTTTTACTATCTAGACATAAGCACGGAAAGTTATTATTTTCCGGCCAGATGATTTTCAGAATAGTAAATCAGAAAACATTCAATCGAACTCTAGAATAGACATTGAATACAAAATTGCAAAGGTCTGTTTTCTGATCTTTCAAAAAATTTTTCGTTTGGTTGGCAATAGCTCCTAAAAAAAGAAATGTTATAGATCTTGTTTTTTGAGATTGAAGATATTCAAAGCTAAGAATAAAATACTAGCTATCACTTTCTTTTAACCTTTGATGCCGTGCGTTACAGCTTGAAATATAGCTAGCGATTGATAATGAATCACAGAGACAATTTAACGATAAACTGATAATGCACTTTAGCAACAAATTGGTATCCAATGGTAGAGTTTTCAAAGAAGTGAATCTTGCTACGTCTGCATCCCAATTTCTGTTTGACTTCTATCAGTTTTTTCAAATGCACGGTTTCTGAAAGAATCGATTAGAAAAGAAAATTGAACTCAATAGTCTAAAAATACTTTTTCAAGAACTACTTTACATGCTTCATCATTGAAACGATTATTCGTTATTTACAAACTATCGCTTCCTTGATACTAGACGTTCGAGTTGCTTTTGCATCTTTCACACAGAATGAAATTCGTATGCTATACGACTTTTTAATGGAACTGGATCCTGCATTATGTACTTCTCTTGCATAATTTTAAATGCACAAAATTCATATGAAAGAATTGTTGTTTTCTATATCAGTTCTCAATGATCCAATAGAACTGACAGGATACATAGAGTTTCTACCAAGTGATATTACTATATTCATATGACCTTTGTTCTGAGATTGAAGTTTATACTAATGGAATATTTTTGGAAAAGCTTGTTGCAATAGAATTCCAGTAAGGAAATCTTTTTCATGTCCTTCATCCTGCTCTAATATATTCACAGTTGACATTAGAGTTTAGTAGAGTTTGAAATGCGCGAAGTATTAGAGAAAAATAGAATAAATTCTGTATTACAAATACAGTTCAATAAGTAATTGGAAACAATTCATTTAAATAGGACTTCACAAAACAAATTTCTGGTAAACTTAGTTAACAAAACATCTCAATGCATAGATTTTTTTCGTTATGTTTCTATAGTAAACAAAATTTTTCAAAAAGATTCAGTTGTAAAAACTAATTTAAAAGAGATTCCAAATAGTTCTGAAATTTCTTCTCCTCTTCCAACCTCTTGCTCTAAACATATAACAGAGATTCGGTTATAAAATCCAGTTTGAAAGAAATTGAAAATCATTTGCACAAATTTGCTCGTCTTTCAACCACTTGCTTCGGATAAATCACGAAAATTCGGTTATAAAAGCTGTTCTGAAACAGATTGAGAACAAATCTTATTTAGAGATAAAAAAAGCGGTTAATAGATTTTCCAATAGTAAGTTCCAATGCATGATCATATAAAAATTTTCTCACATGTGTAACTATCATGAACATAGGTAATCTTCAGAGATGGGCAGCTCCGACTCTGGAGCGGTCGCTCCATGGAGCTAGCTCCTCTCCAGGAGCGAGAGCGGAGCGGAGCGATTCATCAGAACGGTGGAGCTGGAGCGGAGTTGGAGCGAATTTTTTTCCACTAATACCGGAGTCGGAGCGGAGCGCTTCCTAAATAAAATGGAGCTGGAGCGGTGTCGGAGCGACATTTTATTTATAGCTCCAATGATAAGCTCAGTTTTCGATTTATTGTTCTATACAAAATGACGGAAGATTTAATGAAAGAAAGCTCGTCATCGGCGAATTATCGAAATTGATAGCCCATTGTGGCATTTTAGTCAATGGCAATCTCTGAAACAATGACTGACCGTTTATATAGTCTTCTTTTTTGTCTAATTGAACTAAGCTATTGTTACTTTGGAAATGGAAGAAAATGACGTCGAGAACGAGAGAAATTGCATAATATAAAATGTGAAAGGTGAATAGTGCCGAACCAGAATAACATTTCTCAGCTAAATGTCACTTGAACGAACACGATTATCATGGCAAAAAAAATGCACGATCATGATATCGATGAATCATCTTCCGTTACTATCATCGACAATAACGATTCAATGTCATCATATAATGAAAAAAAAGCCAGTACCGTACTTGAAAAGTAAACGTTCTTCATATTATATTATAACTAAGTTAAATATATTGTAAATCAATGTGTTCTTTTTTTGTACTTTATATACATGCTTCTATATTTAGACTAACACGAGAAATTCACTGAACACAGCTAATCATAAAGCATAATTAAGAATATTTGTTGCAGAAGCGGAGTCGAAACGGAGTCGGAGCGGATTTTTTTAATTAAAGGTAGAGCTGGAGCTGAGCGGGAGCGGATATTTTCGGCGAGGAGCAGAGCTAGAGCGGAGTCGGCAGGATATTTCTTAATCTTGAGCGGAGTCGGAGAGAAGCGGTCTGCTATTGACTGGAGCTGGAGCTGAGCTGGAGATAGAAAGGGTCGGAGCTGCCCATCTCTGGTAATCTTCATATATCTGTGGAATATTTAACACTTTTGTTACGATTAATATTACTTCTTAAGCATTTTGTAATTTTGAAAATGTGCGCCATTATGCGCAATACTATTTTGACAAAAGCGCGAATAGTTATTATTCTACGATGAAGTGTTTTATTAAAAAATTTTTCTTTATATTTTCAATTGTTGAACTCGTACTAAACAATTTGTTTTATCTGATATTCAATTTATGTAAGTTGTATAATTATTGATTTATGTGGAATTCATGATCACATTCTTCTGAACGAGTTGAGAAGAAAACAACATTAAAAACTTCAAGTCATCTTTTATATGGAAAGATGCCCATTATAAATCTCAAAATAGCTTTATACTGTAAAAATTGTGCGTTCGATAAGCAGGATAAACTAGGTAGAATAAGTTTCTTCAAAAACATATTAGTATTAACTATAAGAAATGTTTTAATTAAAAATTCTAACCTTAGACAAGTAAAATAAACTTTGGAGCTTGGAATCAGAATACAAAATTAATAGTTACATGATTATCAACTTTAGAATAATTTTTTGCTTGAATATCCTAACATTAGAGAAGAACAATAAACTATAGAGCTGTATTTCCCCTTTTTTTTCACATCATATTCACTAATGTTAGTATGATTTCTGCTTGTATATCCTAATTCTGAAAATGAAAAATGAACTTTTGACTTGTAAATCAAAATGAAAATTTATTTATTACATTTTTCCAAACTTAGGATAATTTTTTTGTTCTAAATCCTAACTTTAGACATAAAAAAACAAACTATGAACATAGATCGAGAATATGTGAACTCTCTCATAGTTATAAATGGTTAGTTTAATGGTCATGAATTTCACACCAAAATAATCATATACTTACTTGTAAACAATAAATCAATCGAAAATAAATCATTGCATGAAAACAATAAATAAAATTTACAAATACTTATGTATTTTTATAGAAAACTTAAAGGAAAAAGTACCTGAAATGAGACTGAACCCTCTTCTTTGTCATGGTAATTTTGATCCATCGGCTGAAAGTGCTCTTCTTTGTCATGCTGACTTTGATCCATCGAATGAAAGTACTCTTCTTCGACGTGTTGATGTTGATCCATCGGATGAAAGTACTCTTCTTCGTGTTGTTGATTTTGATTCATCGGATGAGAGTACTCTTCTTTGTCATGTTGATTTTGATCCATCGAATGAAAGTACTCTTCTTCGTCGTGTTGATTTCCGTTCGAATTTGTTGAATGGCTTGATGCCGTTTGAATTGAGATGTTCGGCGGCTATTGTGTAGTATTTTTGTTCATTGGCGACGCTCATGTAACATTCGGACGTTGTTTAATTAAGAGAAGGTGAAGAAGGGTATATAAGCAGCGTCTCATTTCGCTATGAGCGTCAACTAGTTAATTTCGTCTTTTCTCGTTGAGAAATTTGTTCGATTTGTGCTGCACTTTTCTTTCATTTTCTTTTTGTTTTCTTTTGTCGTTTTTCTTTCTTGTGTTTCCGTTTTCTTCTGTCGTTGGTTACTTATTGTTTTTTGTGTTACATGGCTGCGTCTATGGGTCCTGAATCGTTTTATAATTCAACAACTGGTCAATTAACTGCTGTTGGTCGCAGTTTTTTAAGAAGTTACTTGGTTCATACACGTTATCCAAATGATATTCAATGGAAGGAAATTGAAGAAAAAACAGGGTGTGAAAAAAAGAAATTACAGGTAAGTGGTGTTAGTGTTGATAAGCGTTAAATTATCATTTTACATTGTTAGATGAAGTTTCGGTGTATGCGGGCTGTGGATAAGGCGAAATCAATGAATTTGGTGAAGGTCAATATTCCATCTACTTCTGTAGCTCTTTCATCATCACAGTCAACACCTCCAGAAACACCTGAATTCTCAATACCTGTTCAATTTCTGAACAACCTTTCCATAGCTGAAGCCAAGAAGATGAAAAAGATAATGTTGAAGAAATCTCCCTACGAAAAACTTATCAACCCCAAGCATGTGGATAAAGAAATTGCTGTAGAAGAAATTGCTGCATGGACCAGTGTGACATCCAAAGATGGTAGGTGATTCTCTATAATTATTCGTATCGTTAGTTCTTTTTTAAATAGGAATATTTTTTGCCAACTGGATGTCCTGTCGTATCACTGCTGCTTATCTTGAAAAGCCCCCAGCTCGACATGTATCTACATGTATTTACAAGAATAGCAAAGTGTACAAATTTGTTCAACCGAAGCTGAAAAATTTTTGTTTACGGAAGAACAAACAAAAGATTACCTTGTTCAACCATCATGTCGTGCTTCGCTCAAAGGGAATTCTTCTTTCTGCCTTGATGCGCACAAATTTCCGTGAATCCGGTAAAAAACAGATGCAATACTAATAAATGAATCTATCTTTATCGTTAATAGCTTCTCATTTATGCGACACGCTAGGATGTGTGCGACCTTCACACCTGATCGTTGAAAGCTGGGATGTTAATAGTAGTCGAAAAAGCTGTGCCGGTGTTATTTTGGTTTTAATAAATAAGGATCCATCAAAACCAAAAACAATTGTACAAATAGATCCGTGCATGCACGGCATTAATCATCCTGACGCCAACAATGACTTTCTCAAATACAGCTGTCGAAAAATCCAGGTATTGGTTGAAGATGAAGCAGCAATGGAATATTATGAAAAACTCCCTTAATTTTTTGTGTATCTTGTTTTCTTTAAATAAAAACATTTCTCAATAATTTCTATTACGTTGAAAAATTCGGAAATTAAATATCTTCAAAATGCTGATTCGATAGACTTCAGATCTATAAACGATATTTGCATTTGATATTCTATTCCCGCTCCTATCATTCTATTCATACTGGAAAAGGAAGTCTTACCTGTTAGCCCACATTGACATATATAATCAAAAAACTATAAGCAGACGATACGAAAAATCAAACAAAAAATAGCATAGTTGCCATATTCTGTCCGTCAGTATGAAGTTGCCAGTCACGTGCGAGATAATTTTCTTCATAAGCAACAACTGTTCACAATTCTTCAAAAACAAAATAATCACAATCAAAAGAAGTTGATCATTATTTACTTTGTATGCTTTTAGTACAAGTATTTCTTTTAATTATAATATATGTTCCACAGGCTATAAAAAAATACAAAAGTTTTATGTCACATTTAAACCTTTGTTAAGGTGGCATACTCTAGATCGTCGACTGGATAATAATACAAGATGAATGTAATCGTATGACACACTGTTTATTCGGGTCAAAAAAAGTGAGCTCCACACGTAAACTCCAAATTTGGAGCTCACTTACGCATCCATATTTTACCCATCATTTGCAGCCCATATTTTATCATTTACCACAAGATTCACCCTTTCAAAGCTGCCCATCCATTAACACCATAATATATTGTTTCCATAATTCATAATTAATTAACTACATCTCAACCCAATGGAGCTCAATCAATTAGTACTCACCTAATTACTATTCAGTTAATTAACAAAACAACAAATACCTACTCATGGAAGACCTATCATATGCGAGAGCCCTTACGCCGTGAAGGGCACCCCTACGTAGGAACCCACAGGTCTTGAAGGGCTATCCTTTGCAGGTACCCGTAGGTCCTCAAGTGCAATCATGTAAAGGTACCGACAGGTCCTCAAGCCCTATCACATAGTGGTGCCCATACGTCCTCAAATGGGTATGGGTGTGGGTGTATATGAACTGAGAGTGTGATGTAGGTGTGGGTGGGTGAAAGAAGACCAACATTTATAGGTATATTACAATACCAATACCATTTGGTACTGACTGATATTGGTATTGAATTGTATTGGTATTGAGTGGCATTGAATGGTGTTGAATAATATTGAGTATTAATTCCTGTTAGTACAAATATTAGCCATACCAATGCCATTCGATAGCGAATACCATTTAACACCAATACAAATAATATCAATAGCTCATTACCGTATTGGTATTGTGACATGCCTAAACATCCACACTCAACCCACACCCACACACACTGCTGAACATTTTGTATCCATTGAGAGTTTCGTTGGATCATTTTTCCAATTGGGTGTGCGTGCTGGCGAGAATGTGGATGTGGTTGCGCGTGTGGCATTGGATACAAATATAGAGAACTAGCAGAAGTACCCGGCGTTTCCCTGGAAAGTTCAATCTTAATATATGCAAGCAAAACTCTTATTGCACCCGAGAACATGTAAAAAACCTAATCAGTGGGGAGTAGACACGCATAAAATCCTATTTTTTTGTCCCGGTCTTGGTTCTGACTCTTGGACATATTTTAAATCCCGATCCCGGGTACGCTCGCTCTTGGCGGATATGAAATACTGATATTGAAAAACTGGTCAGAGGTGAAGGATTCTTCGTCCTTACACGTCTAGAGGGTGTGGGTGTGGGTGGTGGGGTGTGAATGTGGGTGTGTGGGGGG